GGGGGGGGGGCTTTGATCCCTTTCTGAATCAGCATGGCCCAGGAAGGTGGGGGCTGTCACCAGCGTAGAAAAGCGGGTTTCCCACCCATTTGGGGCTCAGGTCCCTGCCTCCTGCTGCTTCCCACCATGACTAGGTAAAGAGTAGGTAAAACTAGGGAAGGCAGCAGGAGAAACCAGAATAGCCCCCTGCCTGGTTGTCCACTAACCTCACCCCTCTTCCCTCCCAGCAGGGGCCTTGCCCGCCCTGCCACCCGCCCCACCCACCCTGCCTCTATGGTGCCTCAGGAGGCCTCTCTCGCCTCCTTGAAGGGGCTTGGTGGGACCAAGAGCCAAGCGGGTGGGCTCTGGACTGATCAGGGCCCAGACCCTGACACCTCTGGGATGACGGGTGTTCAACTCAGCCAAGCGCGTGGCCGCTGGGTGCCTCCATTGCCCTCTGCTCTGTAACAGGGCCTTGCTAATCAGGTTGCTACTCAAAAGCACTTCAGACTCTGCCCAACTTCAGCACCTGTATGACTGATTCTGAAATAAATGGTGTTAACCCTAGCTGTGTGCAATCTCCCCTTTCTGGCCTAGCGAGGTCTCCTCTTGGGTGAGGCTTGCCTGGGGCATTAGGACTGGCTTTGTCCCATGCTTGGGGCTGTCCGTCCTGTCTCCCCTTTGCAGGCCGGGCACAGCTGTGAGGTTGGGCACCCGAACAGTGTTGGCTTTCATGAGGAAGCAGAAAGGAGAGGCTGATCTTAGACTCACCAGAAGGTGGGGGCTGGCAGGCTACAGGGGACGAGAAGCACAAACCGCCCTTTACCCCTCACACTGACCAGTGCTAAGGGGCCCACAGGTGTCCCCAGCCCCATCCATTCAGACTTCACAACAGAACTCAAATGTTTCTGGGTGGAAAGGTCACTCCTTCAAACAAAAGGGGAGAACTTTCCAGACCAACGGGGCTTGGCTGGCCAAACTTGAAACCTCCCAGGCCCAGCAGGGTTGTCCTTTCACCCGGGTCTTGCTCCCAGAGTGGGGGGCGGGGGGGACGTGGGGACAAGGGGGCCAGGCTTGGAGGGTGTGCAGTCATCAGTGACCTGTCTGGCCTAAGGCTCTTCCCACAAACGTCAGCCCCGGCCCCAGCCCAGGCTTCCAATGGACTGGAGGCAGATGTCACCCTCTGGCCCCCAGCTCACAAAAGAAACCACGGGAGCCGGTTGGAAGCCAGGTTGCTCCGCCTGACACGTTGCAGGCCGTCACACCCAGGGGAGTTGGCACACACAGCGTCCACCACTTTCTGAGGAGGCCACCACGGCTGACAGGAGGCTGGCCGGGCAGCACACACAGCCTGCTCAGGATTCCCGGTCCACCTGTCTAGGAGGGGCAGCCAGCTCCCCTCCGGGCCCCGCCCACCGGGGCCACATCCGACCCCACTCTGGAGTGGCACAAAGCAGCTGCCAGAGCAAAGGGCCAGAAAGGGCCAGAACATTTTATTCTCTTCATTTTTTTCTTTTTTAATAAAGTTAAACAGTACAACAAAAATTCACAAGCTGCCTCCCCCTCCACCCCTACCTCCCGCCCCTCCCCACAGTCCTGGGTGCGCTGGCTCCCGTTCCTTCACCCCACTCACAGACATAGTGTCCAACTGAGAAAGTGAAACTGCTCTAAGTACACAGAGACATGATGAAGGGAGGAGTTGAATTGTGTCCATATTCAAGGTTCAACCGAGCAAGTCTGCATTTGCTGGGTGCTGGGTGACTGGTGTCCTTTCATTAGCCGAATTGGAAAAAGAAATTGCCTGGACCAGAAGCTGGGAGAGAAAAGGAGGGCGTGTTAGCTGGCTCTGAGTTTTCCAGGAAGAGGCTCTTTCACAGCACAGGGATTAGGACTCAGAGAAGTCTTCAGGCCAGTGTGAACTCAACAGGCGCCCACAGCTCCTGAGCCCACATCTGCTGAGCCGCTCAGGCAGTGGGCAGCAGCGGCCCCAAGGAACGGCACTAAGCACGTCTCCTGCCCTCAGCCAGCCCCACACCTGAGTAAAAGGGGGTCCTGCTAAGCTAAGGAGTCAGCTACCAAAGAGCTGTGCCTATCGGTGATGGGGGCCCCCTCCCCGGGCGGCAGGCATACCCACCTTCAAAGCTGAAACCCCCAGGACCACCGAAGAATGCCTTGAAGATATTGTTTGCGTCAAAATCTGCAGAGCAAGAAACGGGAAAGAAAGGAAAAGGCGAGAGATCCATCAGACGTGTGTGAAGGGCTAAGCAGTTAGGGCCCCGCGCATGGGTCTCCCATGTTGCATGGACAATGCCACGGCCCTCCTTTCCCCACGGGTCACAGATGGGGTGAGCAAGCCTGTCCCGCCCTGAATAAACTTCTCCTCAAAGCCACCGCTAGGTTCCACTGCCTTCTTCCAAACATGGTCCCCAAGGAAAGCCTGCCTGCCGTCACCCGCCTCTCAACAGCTGGGAGGCCGTGTACGTGTGCGGATATAAAACACGTGCACATTCCTATCTTTCCCTTGTGTCTTCCCTCACGTTCTGTCTCCCTTTAATGCTGGGGCTGCTACATAAAAGGTAACAACAAAGAACAAGACCCAGGACGCATGACATCGTGTGAGTCCATGTCTCCACTGTACGGCAGAAGAAACGACTGGGTTATCACGCACCTAGACCAAAAACCAGACCCACTGCCATTGAGTCAATCCCACCTCACAATGACCCTACAGAGTCCAGCTGGGCCACAGGGTTCCCAAGGCTCTAAATCCTTTGAGGCCGCCTGCCAGTTTCCTCCTGTGCACTGGTTGGCAGGTTCCAACCTCTGACCCTCTGGTTATCAGTGTTTCTCCATTAAGTAGCCCTGAGGTGCTATGACCACAGAGCATCAGGACCAAGGACTCAAAGCACTCCGGCCACGCAGATGCTGCGACCGGCTTGCTGAAAGCCAAGACTCGAGACACTTGCTGATGAAAATCAAGGACTGCCGCCTTCAGTAGGGTTGCAATTCAACGCGAAGGAAACAATCCAACGGGTGTCTATTGGTCACAACTAGCCCAACGGGCAACCTCATGACAAACAGCGGCAGGATGGACGTTGTCAAGGATTTCATCTTGCTTAGATCCACGATCAATGCTCAAAGCAGCAGCAAAGAGACCAAACGATGAGTGGCGCTCGGTGTGAAGACAAATCTACTGAAAGATCTCTTCCAAGTGCTGAAGAGCAAGGACATCCCTTTGAAGCCATGGTATTTTCAACTGCCCTGTATGCATGCAAAATCAGGACAGTGAATAAGGATGACCAAAGAATTAATTCATTTGAATTATGATGTTGGGGGAAAATATCCAAAATACCACGGTCTGTCATAAGAAGTAGTACAGCCAGAATACTCCTTAGAAGCAAGGATGGGAGATGCCTTTCTCAGGTATTTGGGACCCGGGTCAGCCAAAAAAGGGAAGGCTGACACCGTGGCTGCAACAATGGGTGGAAACACAGTAACAACCATGAGGCTGGGGAAGGACGGAGCAAGCGTTCCGTTCTGTTGTCCTAGGGTCCCTGAGTCTGAATGCACGTCACGGTACCCAACATCACCATCCACACGGCCCGAGTGACGGAGCTCTGGGCGAGGAAGGGCGAAACTGGTGCTTCGAAAGCAGCAGCCACGGAGAGCCCCTCTCTGCAGGCGCTCACAGGATGGCAAGGCGGACGCCATAGCTGAAGGCACGACAATCCTCCCTTTGGAGCAACGCTCGTCTTCCTGGGCCCTCAGCCCCCCAGGTGCCCCAACTCACCACCCATGTTCATGCCCTCCTCATCCAGGTCCTGCCCACTGTCGTAGCGAGTCTTTTTCTTGGGATCCGAAAGGATAGTAAAGGCTTCTCCAACTTCCTTGAACTTCTTCTCCTCCTCCTTCTGAACTTCAGCACTGGCCCCACTGTGCCGATCTGGGGGGAGGGTGCAAGTGAACGCCGGCGAGGCAAGGCAAAGCAAGCAGAATTCTAGGCAGAGCCCTCTCGTCCTGATTTGGGAGGGAACTGGGTGCTCGGCAGGGTCTGGAGTCTCTGAGGCTTATTCTGGGCCCTGCGCAGGGCTGCTGGGAGGCCCCTCTGGCGTGGGCCGCCCACTCGTGCTCCCGCCCTACCTGGATGGTGCATCAGGGCCCGTTTCCGGTAGGCTTTCTTGATCTCGTCCTCGGAGGCACTCTTGTCCACCCCCAGGATCTTGTAGTAGTCTTTCCTCTGGCTCTTCTTCAGCTCCAGCTGGGCGTGTTTCAGGAGCTGTTTGTGCTCTGGGGGGAACAGCTGGGGTCGGTGGGCCGAGCGGCTCTGCGCTGCCCAGGAGTCACGAGCCTTGCTAGCCACTCCAGGGGCTTTTTCCCAGAGGTCAACACCAACCTCCTCCTCTGGGGTGCTCCCATCAGCCCCCGCACACTTCCTCCCTAGTGATCAAATAAGCCGACCCCCGCCCAGCACAGCTCCCAGGGCCTCAGGCCCATGGTCTCAAACGACTTTACCTTTTGTCTTTTCCGTCTGATACACCTTCTCGTAGTCCCGCACGGCTTCCTCATACTGTTCTGTGTCCATATAACTGAGGAGGAAACGCAGGTCAGCTCTGTGCTCGGGCCTCCTGCAGCACTCTGGGGAAGAGGCGTGGCTCAAGCAAGACACACACTTGTGCTACCATGTCTCATCTAACAGAGGCGCTCAATCGAGCACTGGGGGGAAATGGAGCTACCCATTTCACATGGAGACAGAAACAGAAGCGGCTTCACGGCATTTCAGCACGCCAGCAGAGGGAGGCCCTGGTCGGAGTGGGCAGCGAGTAAGGGACGATTCCTTTTGATTTGGCGCGGGGCCACAGCTGGGCCGCCTTAGGAACGAACACAGCGTGAAGGCCAAGTGAACCTGGGTGACCACGTGGGATGGGAAGATGAACATGCAGGGCAGGCTCCCATCCAGAGCACAAGTGGGGTTAGTGGGACCCGACTCAGCAGGTCAGGGTGATTGCCGGCAAGTGCTGCCCTTCAGAGCAGTCACTCTGAGGGGCACAGATAAGCCAGAATGGCATGGAGACGGGCACGCGAGAGTGCTGCTACGCCGGGAGCACAGCAGAAAAGATGGGGCTCAGGCCCGAGAGGGGAGCAGCCTAGCCCGACAGGCTGACTGCCAGACCTGGACGTTTCTCTTCCACAGGAGCAGGGGGCAATTTCCATGTCCGGTTAAGATCAGAGGCACTAAGATTGGCCTAGGAATTAAACAGACGGGTTGGAGGTCCGAGGAAGATGCCACCAGCCCCCAGCCGGGAAGCGGGGAGGGACCCTGCAGAGCAGCTGCTTGCTGTACAGGGATTCACTGTATTACTGTGACCACATGCCCACTCATGAGCATGCTGCCAACATCCACGCGACTCATGCGGCTGGCCCAAGAGAAACCCCAGCATCTCTGATTTCCTGCCAGCACCACAATGTAGCACTTCATTAAACAATGGTGGCGGTGGACAGTCATTTAAGGGGCTAGGAAGCGTGGGAACACTGAGTCTGAGGCACGAGTGGACCATCGAACCTCTGTTTCCAGGACTCTGGAGACCACAGGCGCTGGATGGTGCCCAGCTACCGCCGCTGACCACACCACTTTGAAAGGGATCACGTTAGATGGGTCAGGGTAGAGTGGGAGAAAACTGTGAAACAAAATTCAAAATCATAACAAAGACTAGGCTTCCTGGTATCACAGGAATGGGTGGAAAAACCCCGGGACTGTGGCCCTTGGGGGGGAGGGGACGGGAAGTAGCAAAGGAGTGTCAGAAACAAGTACAGAATACTCCCTTCCCAGGAGTGCCCAGAAGCCTTGTGTGCCAGGAGCTTATGAGGAAACACGTGGACAACCAATAGCACCTGAAGAGAGATGTGTAAACAGCCCCCAGGAGCCTCCGGTGCCATCTGTCACACAGTAGCATTAGGTTTCCGGCCCGCGTCATGTTGATGCACTTTGACTTCAACAAAAATGACAAGCCATTTACATTTACCTCCTACCATAGATGCGGACTTTTATCCAGTCACCGACAAGAACAGTACAAATGCAATTCTTCTAATCGCAACAGTCTCTGTGTGATCTACCTATCTCCAAGGACACGCCTCAATTTGATGGGAACCTGAGTTGAGTTTCCGTTTCATTCATGAAAGCATTACTTCAGTTACAAATATAAATGTAGCCAAAAAGTTCTTAGAAAGTACACATCGAATGTAAAAAGACAAATAATGCAGCAGAGATTGTCACACTGACCAGCCCAAGCAACCCTTAGGCTATGTCAAACCCAGTATCTCAAATGGATAATGCTCAATGTTACAAATTTTACACACACTTAGTATCACATTGCTTCATTCATGTTCATAGTGCAAACTTAGGTTGTTCGTTAGAGAAAATGTGCAGTTTTGTCCGTATGTCACTTTGATGCATGTCCACAGAGACAGGCATAGAGAAATGTCTGCCAGTCTCTTAGAGCAGCGGTTCTCAACCTCCCTGTTGCCACAGGGCCTTTGAGACAGGTCCTCATGGGGTGGTGACCTCCAATCATCACATTATTTTCGTTGCTCCTTCATCACTGTCATTTTGCTACTGTGATGAATTGTAATGTAAACATCTGGTATTCAGGATGTATTTTCATGGTTACGAGTTGAACATAATTAAAGCATGGTGATGAATCACAAAACAATAGGCAATGATATACCGTGAACAATTATGTGTCTTCCCAGGGTCTTAGGCGACCCCTGTGAAAGGGGTGTTCGACCCCCCAGTGATATAGGAACTAAACCCTTTTTGCTCCCAGAAGAGTGAGCGGTTGAAACCAACCAGCTGCTCGGAGGAAGAAAGAAGTGGCAGTTGTGACCACCTGCTTCTGTAAAGACCTTCCGCCCTCAGAAGCGCTCCTCTGTCCTGTAAGAGTGCTCCGAGTCGAAACCCACCCAACAGCACTGATACTACGGGCACTTGCATCTTTACCTCACAACTTCAAGGGACAACTCTAGCCTCAATGGGAGATGTCGCCAAGACCCGGCATGTTCCCAACACCAGGGTAAGCTGGGGGCAGACGGGGCAGTGGGCAGGCTTCTAGTCAGGGCCAGCAGCTGAGGCCCTGGCTTGGAGTCTTAGTCAACCGTGGCAACTGGCAAGCAAAGGCTCTCCCCCAGGTGGTGTGTGTGTGGGGGTGAGGGTCGTGGTGGTTGTGTGTGTGTG